TGGGATCGTTGTGTTCACTCCCAGGGGAACTACTTCGAGGGTGATGGATGAATTTAATACCTGAGATAAGTGTACGGGTTTTTATAGGCGCAGTCTAGAAACTTTCCGATCGCACCTCGTAAGTCGTCATTTTCAAAGTTGGTTACGAGGTAGGCACACAAACCAACCGAGAACCAATCTATGGGCGGAGACACGAACAAGCATAGGGCATGATGGTTTGCCAGATTATACAACTCCTGCTTACGAAATGCATTGATGGAAATGGTAAACAGTGCCTTAAAACTATAACACTTGGTATTAGCTTGTTACGTAGGTCTTTGACCCACACGGTTTCGGAGGACCTTTGCCACAACCAGAAGGTTAGCAGCTTTCGTCACCCAGCACCCCGGTCTTATTTAATCCCCAGAGAAGCGTAGTGACTAGGACCATTTCGAAGAACTCTCGATTAGTATCAAGACATCTGATGGGTCCATACCCATCTTAAGTATAGATACAACGCGAGCATTTACCGCTCTGGTGGTAAGTAGTGCCTGCTGAGGACTAAATTGGTCTCAGAAAGGTTATGGGACGCTTAGATAAATCCCTAAGTACAGTGTTTGGAACACATTTCGGGACCAATATTTTCCAAACTTGATTCCTTTGATGTCCTAAAGCATCTCCGAGGGACTAGCGAATTTCGGTTCACTTACGGGAAAACGTTTATAAGCATCGCCTCGTTTAGAACCCGAATAACTGCCTGGTCACGCCACATATGTTTCAGATACCGTCAGTTTATTCGGTGTACACCATGTGGGTGTCAATTGAAGAGCACATAGGCGAGAATAGCCAAAAAGACACGTGAAACATAAGTAACTGTCCAAGGCGCTGAAGAATTGGAACATTACTGTATATTTATTTTATAAGCTGGAGTTCATCACATGGGCGGATTCCCAGACTATGAGGGATGAAATTACCCCGAAGTACGCAGACGCGTAAAATTACTTCTGAGTTGAAGACAAAGACTAAACGAGACAAAAGTAAATGTAGCAGAGTTTCGGATACGAGGTGCGATCGGAAAGTTTCAAGACTGTGTCAATAGAGGGCGAACCGGATGTAGTACGAGCTTCTGCCGCTAGGGGGTGCGGCCTACATTCATAGTGAATCAGTGTGCCAGCCGGCATCATCGAATTAGCATTTGTTTCTTAGTTACGGGCGTTTTGGTAGTGCATTACACCGACCCTCCTGCGATTTCAGGAATGGCGTGTGCATCAAATTTTGCCAAAGACTCGCCAAAACGGCTAAGGAAACCTATGAAATGCTAAAGCAAACATTTGGGGAGTCCGCAAACTTTTGTGTGGCATTCACGTTTTAAAAAGGGCCGGCCGAACCTCTGTCGATGATGACGAGCGTTCTGGACGACCATCTTCGAGCACAACGCCCGAAAAAGTTACGAAGATCGACGTCGTACCATCAACGACTTGTGCGACATTGTTGGGATAGGCTATGGGACCTGTCAGCTGATTCTAAAGGAAGAAATCCACATGCGACGCATCATAACAACGCGCCAGCGCACACCGCCCTCAAAGTTCGGCAGTTTTTGGCCTCAAACACCATGGCCGTCATCCCGCACCCTCCTTATTCACCGGATTTAGCTCCGTGTGACTTCTTCCTCTTCCCAAAGATGAAAATTCAGCTAAAGGGAAGGAGATTTGAGACGATAGAAGAGATTCAGACAGAATCGCAGATGGTGCTTGACAGGCTGACAAAGAAAGATTTCCAGGGATGCTTCCAGGCTTGGCAGCGGCGCTGGGATCGTTGTGTTCACTCCCAGGGGAACTACTTCGAGGGTGATGGATGAATTTAATACCTGAGATAAGTGTACGGGTTTTTATACGCGCAGTCTAGAAACTTTCCGATCGCACCTCGTACATACAAGGAAGATAGCAAAACAGTCAATTTTTCATTCCTCAGCGCCAGTTACTGTGAACTTTAAAACATTTCTTGTGAAGTAATGATACATCTTGTAGTGTTAGCAATTTCAGTTACGTGATCACCTACGTTTCAGATCGGCTGAATGGATATATGGTATATTATCATCGAATTAGATTAAATGTATCCAAGTACACGAAAGAATACACGTATTAATATTTATATAAAACTTGTTTTTGCGTCACGCATTATGGGTTGAATAAACTCTAATTAGGATTATTCATGTTTACTGAGTACAGATAATATGAATGGCGAATACGTTCAATTACCAACCATCATGTCTATTTACAACAGAGAATGGTAAATGTATATATTTCTCCAATTAGCATGAAGTAACACCTCAGTCGATATTTTGTATAATTTTCTGCAGTAACAAGTAACCAATTTGTTTTCCAGCGCCGTGTGGACTGGACGTTTCGTAGAGGCTTGCTGTCTCAATCTTTAGGACTGAAGT